CTTGAAGAAAATATCCATAACAATAAAGTGAAAGTGAATTCAATGGGCCAGCTAGCACCTGAAGTATGATACAGATGACTCCCAGTCACGCTAATCTAAAGTCCTGTTTTTTCTGCAGCTTGAGAAGCGCGCTGAAGCTGCTGGTTGGAAGTCACCCAACCGAACAGGCAGAGGTACATCTGCACAGAGTGATGACCACATGCACAGGGGCCAGTCGCACAAACACCTTAAGTATCATTTTTAAAGGGGCCCTATTATGCTTTTTTTTGGTTCATAATTGTATTCTGTGCCTCTACTGTGACATGTCTCCATGCTTTAATGTTCAAAAAGCTCTTTATTTTTCTCATACTGCCTGTGCTGCAGCATCTCTTTTCACCCTCTGTCTGAAACCAGAGCCCAGTCTGCTGTGATTGGTTAGCTGGCCGGCTCTGTTGTGATTGGTTAGCTGGCTGCCTCTGTGATTGGTCAACCACTTAAAGAAAGGCCCTTTTATGTTTTTGGGGGGATTTCCCTTTCCTGTAGTGTGTTGTTTAGGTTTTTGTGCATGTAAATGATCTGCAAAGACTCAAATCCCAAAGTTCTCTCCCACACATCTGCCTGAAACAACTTCATTGGACTCCTTTGTTTAATTCTGCGACATAGTGATGTCCCTCCATCACACTCTCACTTCTACTGGCTAGCGCTCCGACACATTGTACCTGATAGGCTAAGGGGCGGGACATCACTAAGCGGTTGACCAATCACAACAGAGCGTGCCAGCTAGGGGGTGAAAAGAGGTGCTGCAGCACAGGCAGTATGAGAAGAATACAGAGCTTTGTGAACATTAAAGCATGGAGACATGTCCCAGTAGAGACACTACATACTAATATGAACCTGAAAATGAGCAGAATAGGGCCCCTTTAATAGTGAACTTCTGTGCAACTAGTTTAAACTTTTAGGAAACCGTAACACAGATTTGAAAGAAAATATGAAGTTAAGGTGGTTTCAGACTTATTGTAGAAGACATTATGTTCTGTAGAACTATAACTGGGAATATCATTTTAATGTTGAGTATTTGAAAGTGAACCTTGACTGTTCTGTGATGTAGCCTCCCTTCAGACCAGAGATTGTCTCCAGCTGCTGAAGCTTCTGGGTGTTCCTGTCATCCAGGTCAAAGCTCAATGTATTCCTTCATTTCCCATGTGTCTCTTCCCTGGCTTTCCTCAGTACATGTTTTTTATTGTTTTGTATCTCCCTGTCTGGTGCTGCAGGCTCCGGGAGATGCTGAGGCGCTGTGTGCCAAGCTGGTGAGAGATGGGACTGTGGATGCCGTGGCATCAGAGGACATGGACACTCTGCCGTTTGGAGCCAATATTCTCATTCGACAGCTCAACGCCAAGAAGGACAGGTAAGAACTGAGCAATTTGTGTGTTTCGTGATTGATTTTAATGGCGTTTCTTAAGTTTAACCATTTTTGTTTGTTTTATTTACATTTATGATGGTCATGTTCCAAAGTATTCCCTAGTTTTTTTTTCCTAGAGTTTTACGTTGTTAAATCCATCTTCCTTACATGGTCTGTATGCTCAGATGTATTTTCAGTCAAATTACGCTATTCCTTTAAAGTTTTCTGAGGCTGTTGCATTTTAGTGCTCTTCTGAAGCTTTAGAGAACAGCATTGGATTCATTTGAACTTTAGTCATAAAGTGTTTTTTAGTTGCTCATCTGTGATGATATTGATGCATTCTGAACCCGATTGTCAGAAATGATCCTGTCACAGCTTTTTTTTGGTTGTGCCCTGGCCAAAAGGTTTTTTGGATGATTTAAAGTGGGGGTGCTTGAGGCACGCCCCCAGTTTGTAGAAGACAGGAATGACCAGACAGGGGCAACATAAAAACGTGTTCAGCCAACTTAAAAAGATCTAACAAAAAAAATCAATATCAGTTTTTGATGGGGAGCTATACTCTTCTTCTTCCTTGTCTTCACAGTGACGTCATTGAATATTCTTTACCCAAGCTGTTAGAGAAACTCAAAATTACCCACGAGGAGGTGAGAACATTAAAGACATCATCGAAGTACAGAACATTAAAAGTGTCAATACAACTTCAAGGAAATACTACAAATAATGCCTCAAACCTTTCTCATTTAGCATCTTTTTCCTCCAACAGTTTGTCGACCTGTGTATTCTGTTGGGCTGTGACTACTGTGACAAGATAGCCGGTTTGGGTCCTACGAGAGCGCTGTCTCTGATCCAGAAGCACCGTACTATTGAGAACGTGGTTTTGCACGTCAACAGAAAGGTAACAGCTGGACAACCAGTGGTCATATTATCCTTCTGTACGTAGCTTTACAACAAAGTGTATGATCTGATACGACATCTTCTTTCAGACCCATCCTGTGCCACATTTCTGGGAGTACAAAGAAGCTCGGAAGATATTCCTGGATGCACCACACACAGTAGCTCCTGAACTCACCTGGACTGAGCCAGATGAAGAAGCCTTGGTTAGACTTCTCTGCCACGTCAAATACTTTAAGTACGTATACTTCTTTTTACACGCTTTTCTGTCTCTTTCAAAGACAGTTATGACTGTATACGTTTTTATGTGTTTCAGGGAGGAGAGAATCCGTCATCGCATGGAGAAGTTCCGTCAGACACGGGAAAGTAAGCGGGAGGAGAGGGAAAAAGATAAGGCAGAGGGAAAAAGCAAGCAGACTCGCATTGAGGACTTCTTTAGAGTTACCAGAAAGAGGGTGCAGGTGAGAAAAAGTAGAGATTTTTTTAATTGTTTTAATTAATTGATTCAGAACTTGATTCATTGCAGTAAATCTATTAAGTGTTATATAGGATTTTGTGTATGTAAATGGTCTGCAAAGGCTAAAATCCCTGTGTTCCCTCCTGAGGGAGTTTCTCTCCCACACAGCCTGAAACACCTCCATCCACACATTTGTTTTATTCCACACTGGCACTTCTATTGGCTAGTGCTCCAACACATCGTACATGATATATAAGAGGCAGGAAATCTCTAAATGATTGACCAATCACAACAGAGCCGGCCAACTAACCAATCAGAGCAGACTGGGCTCTGGTTTACATTAAAGCATGGAAACATGTCACAGTAGAGGCAGTAATTACAACTATGAACCTGAAATTGAGCATAATAGGGCCCCCTTAATGTGCAGGACCACTTCCACAGAGTCCACCATGTTGCACCAACATGTTTCTACATTAGCTTAAAACGTGCAACCCCTTATTTGAGAGAGATTTTTTTTCTTTACGTTTTGACATGATGCAACTGTAGTTCTCTTTCAAGGTAGTGTGACTTAGTGTGACCTTTGATATGTTTGGATCAATCATGATTTCTACAAAAAAAAAAATCACTTTTAATTTTCAGTAGTTCCAAATGTGGTTTGTTGATTAGTCTTAACAATTGTGTCTTTTTTCCTCCAGCCTGTGGATGCTGCATTCGCTTCAAGCAGCAACAGAAAGAGACCCAAGACTAAGTAAGGCTGCCAACATCTCCTGCTTGCTGCTTCCACCGTCCAAGTTGGAAGACGTTTAACGCTGTCTGCATTTCCTGATATTAGATACAATTCTGAAAAAAATGAAAGAGACAATCTGTTATCCTACTCTTAAATGTCTGGCATAAGACATTTTTTAAACAAGCCATCATGCCTCCTTCTTGTTTTGATGACTATATCTAGCATCTTCACCATCCATAACAGTGAATAAATAATAATGTGTTTTGAATTTATATTATTATATAATAATTGACACATTTCAACAGTTTTTGAGGCTTTACATGTTGAATCATGGTTTTACATTCGGAGAAGACTATGCTTTTCCAAGTGCCTTCTAGTAACCCTCCAAATTTTGAAGGAGTCAAAACAGGAGCAAGACTCTTTCTTTGTCTCTACATGGGAGGAGCACTTCCCCCACTGACAATACAATAATCTGATCTGGTCTTAACAGCAGTGTCTGCAACAATGCAGTGCACTGAGCAGTTCTTCAGTGTATCCAGCAGTTTCCTGCAGAGCTACATAGAAAGCAGAGCAGGCGGTGTGGGCTATGAAAGGGAACAGTGTGATCACTGTTGGGGAGGCCATCCCCCCAGCCAACACTGGAGACAGCGGATGTCTCATCACTAGATATTCAATGAGCACCTGTTGTGTTCAGGGTGCCAAGGCTGAGACCAAGGCCTTGAATTTAAAACATGCACACAAGTGGTAACATGTGCAAAAAGAGATAGTGAGATGCTGCAATCCATATGAAAAAAAAGGGTACTTGTGGGTTATCTGTTTTTAATTTAATTTTCCAAACCCAACCCTAACCCTAACAAAAGTGCGTATTTAGAGAGTTTTAAAAAAACAATAAAAGTGGCGACAGATAACCCACAAGTACCAAAATATGTATGTATTTTTTGTAAATACAGTATACACTGTATCATTTTTGTATTTTTTAAGAAATCATAAAACTGTTGAAGGTATTTCTGCAGCTCATTTTGCCAAATTGTTATTGTTTTTTTACATCTGTCTAATAAGTTATTTAGCTTTTGTTCTTCTTTTTTTAGTTTGTTCTCTTGTGTTCTCACATTTATTCTCAGGACACAATTTGAGCAGTACAATATAACTCATGCTTTAAGAAATGTGTCTTAAAAAACAATAAAACACAATTTAAATAAATAACTGTCCCTTTTTTATGTTTTTTTTTAATTTTTATTTGCCCTTATGTAATGGGAGTTTTGATATAAAGAAGATTTTTAACGTTTTTGACACCTCAATTACAACTTTTCAAGATTCAAGGCTTTTACTTTTACTCCTCTGGAAACCTTCCATTTGTGGGACAATTTGTCTGTGAGCTGTTTTTATGAAAAGTGTGAATTTGCAGTGTTTTTTTTACAAAATGTTTCAATGTGTGTTTGTATTATCATTCCTGAATAGTGTTACTTTAAATTAGGCATTATTCCAAACCAACAGATGGCGCTTGTGCTTGTGAGGCCGGTCTGTCTGCCACTTTTACCCCGAGTAGAAGAAGCAGTTTGTCAGTCGCCCAGTCTCTCGGCCAGACCTCTCGGAAAGGTGTCTGCCACGACCAGTCTCCCCTGAAGGCACCCGCCCTGTCCCGGGTCCCTTGACCAAACTTCCCCTCCCCGGTGATATCAGACGGTTGTTTTCTACCATGGCGACGAGCGCGAAGCGAAAGCAGGAGGAGACTCATCTGAAGATGCTCCGGGAAATGACTAGCCTGCCCGCGAATAGGAAATGCTTCGACTGCGACCAGCGCGGCCCGACCTATGTCAACATGACAGTGGGCTCCTTCGTCTGTACCACCTGCTCCGGCATATTGTGAGTTTCTTTTTAGCGTAAACTACCATCTTTTTCATTTTCAGTGTCCGACAGGGCACGGACAGAACGCCGCAGTCGGTCATGGGTTTGTCCCGGTCCGCAACTGACTTGGCGGTACCATTAGCTCGTTAGCTAGCGTTAAAGTCAGGACAGGTAACGTCGGTTCGTTGAGTTGGGTTAGGGCAAATAGTGTCGTCATTTTTGTTTGTTTACAGCCTTACTTCACTGTGATAACAAGTTGTGTTTTTCATATATGTAGGCAGAGTGTGAGGGGGAGTTCTGTAACTTATTGCCAGGATCAGCACGTCCTATAGACCCAACAGTCACATATTTGACCACCTTGTTCAAAAACAGCACGTCACAGAGAAACCTCCTCTTGTTAAACTCTAGCGAGACCCCTGACACACACACACACACACACACACACACACACACACACACACACCTTCTATTCTAGGTAGATAAGAAGGAGCAGGGTGGGTCGCTCCCTTTGGGAGGTAGTTGACAGACTAACTAGGGCAGTGGATCGTCCTGAGCTGCTGTCTGATGAAACACCGTCTTCTTCTTTCTTAGAAACGTTATGAAGTCATAACCAGGATTTATCCAATGTCTTGACTGCTTACTCCCACGTAGTTTCTACAGAGGTGTGTGTGTGTGTGTGTGTGTGTGTGTGTGTGTGTGTGTGTGTGTGTGTGTGTGTGTGTGTGTGTGTGTGTGTGTGTGTGTGTGTGTGTGTGTGTGTGTGTGTGTGTGTGTGTGTGTGTGTGTGTGTGTGTGTGTGTGTGTGTGTGTGTGTGTGTGTGTGTGTGTGTGTGTGTGTGTGTGTGTCAAATTAACAATCGAGCTAAAAAGACACTGACAAGATCATAGAGTGTGTGTTATTCCTTCAGTCTGTGTGCCTCCACGATGAAACTATAAGCACAGTAACACATCAACAAGGAAAGATGACATTTGCCAACAGCTACAGTCTTGAATTTAAGTGGATGGGACTGTATTTTAGCATTGCTGTCTTTCATTATTCTTCGTCAGAAGAAAAAAAGCTCTGTCAAGTTGCAGTGGATAGCAATTTTCAAATCCTGCCATAAATTCAGTTTGGATGGAAGTCAGACTTGGCCACACCGGGTCCAGGACACTATCATTGTTGTTATTGAACCATTCCTGTTTAAGGTTGCATCAGGGTTTTCTCCAGGATGTGTCTTTAGTGTCTGACCCCCGCGAGCTTTCCTTCCCCAGAGCATGATGCTGCCACCACAAGCCTTCATTGTGGTGCTGGTTAAATGTGTATTGGACTCATCAGACCATAGAGCCCACATCCCTTATGGCCAACACTGACCTACATGTCAAGTTGTTTATTTTTTCAGCAGCGGTTTTGTCTTTGTCAATTTGCCATCAAGCCGCAACTGGTGAAGCAATAGTTGTTGATCGCAATGTGTCTCCTATATTTGGTAAACAGCTCATCTGGGGTCACCTCAGGCTTTCTGCTGCCCATCATTGCTGCCGTCCCCTTGCACAGACAGACCCTCATTATTCTGACTACTTACTCAAGGAAAATACACAGCTTATTAAAAAGATGATTCAAAATTCAAAGGCTTCATTGTTATAGGCAGAATGGCTCCAGTGAGTTTGGCAATGAATATTTTAAGTCCAAGGCTCCTCCATCAATGCAAAATAAATTGGATGCAATATAAATATGCGGACTGTAAACAGATGCAAATGTTAGGATTAACCTTACTATACTCTAAAGTGTTTCAGGATTTCTTTCTTATCAGTGTTGGGAGTTTAAGGATTAAGGCCCGTTTGACACAAACACATTTTGTGCTATATAAACAAGCTAGGATTCAGTAATCTTGTAACAGATTTGTTTGTTATAGGGGCCCCATTATGCTCATTTTCAGGTTCATACTTTTATTTATGTCTTTACTGTGACATGTTTCTATGTGCTGCAGCACCTCTTTTCTCCCTCTGTCTGCTCTGATTGGTTAGCTGGCTGGTCAACCACTGAGAGATGCCCCGCCCTTTAGCCGTCAAGTTCAATGTGTTGGAGCGCTAGCCAATACAAGAGTGAGTGTAACACAGTGATGTCACTATGTTACAGAAGTAAACACAGGAGTCCATTGCTTCACTATGTAGACATCAGTTTTAACTTTTTTGTTGTTACTTTTTTTAACCCTTTTAAGTTTGTTTTTCTTCTTCTGTGGATCCATGTTTAAAAATCAATATTACTTTCAGATATTATTTAATGTTTCAAAACAATGAAGCATGAATAAGAGTATTTGGGTTTAAAGGTTCTACTGACACTCAAAATGTATATTCAGTTTGGATGGAAGTCAGACTTGCATCCTAAACAATGATTTATTTGAAGATTTTCAGTCTGGCTTTAGAACACATCATAGCACAGAGACAGCTCTGGTTAAAGTCACAAATGACCTTCTCATAGCCTCAGACAAAGGACGTGTCTCTATTCTTGTCTTGCTCGATCTCAGTGCTGCATTTGATACTATCGACCATGAAGTCCTATTGCAAAGACTAGAGCACTTAGTTGGCATAAAGGGAACTGCTTTAGGCTGGTTTAGGTCCTATCTATCTGAACGCTCTCAGTTTGTGTGTGTCAACGATGAATCTTCCATGCAAACCAAAGTTAGCCATGGAGTGCCACAGGGCTCACTGCTTGGACCTATTTTGTTCACATTATATATGCTTCCGTTAGGCAATATTATAAGGAATCATTCTGTACATTTTCATTGTTATGCGGATGATACTCAACTATATTTATCCATCAAGCCTGATGAATCCAATCATCTAAATAAAATTCAAGACTGCCTCAAGGACTTAAAAACGTGGATGACCTTAAACTTTTTGATTATTTAAGTTAAGTTATTGTACTCGGCCCAAAGACTCTACGAAACAAACCTATCTAAAGATATATTAACTATGGATGGCATTCATTTGGCCTCCAGTGAGACTGTAAAGAATCTTGGTGTTATATTTGATCAGGATTTATCCTTTAACGCCCACATAAAATCAATCTCAAGGACCGCCTTTTTTCATCTACGTAACATAGCAAAAATCAGGCATATCTTGCCTCAAAACGATGCAGAGAAACTAGTCCATCCATTTGTTACTTCAAGGCTGGATTATTGTAACTCTTTATTATCAGGGTGTACCAAAAAGTCAGTTTAGTCGCTTCAGCTGATTCAAAATGCTGCAGCACGTGTACTAACCAGAGTTCGGAAAAGGGACCACATTACTCCTGTTCTGGCTGCCTTACACTGGCTCCCTATAGAACACAGGATAGAATTTAAAATTCTTCTTCTCGCCTACAAAGCCCTTAATGGGCAGGCGCCATCTTACCTTAAATAACTCATTATACCAGGGGTACTCAAATACAAATCTTAAAGGTCAAAAAAAAATGTTTCAATAAGACAAAGGTCCGTTTATTATGGTCATTCAAACTTTTAAACAATTGCAACAAGATTCTTAACACGAGGTTGCAAAAACAAAAATAATCTGTATGCAGCAGTTTTCATTGTTATTGTGTCTGTGCTTGATCCCTCAGAGTCGCAGTGTGAGCTGCACAGTTATGAATAAAGGCAGCTGCACCCTCTTTCATTCAGCATTCCCATTATTGCTTTATAAATGTCTTGCCCCCCTTGTGTGTCCACTGAGGTTCGTCAGGCCCAACACATCTTCAACAAACTCCCCCTTTGCCTCATCATAAAAACTCACAAACACCAGCAACTGAGCATTGTCAGTGGTGTCAGTGGACTCATCCACAGCTAAGGAAATGCACTGTGCATTTTTTATTCCATCACAAAGCTGATTCATAAAATCACCAGCCAGTATTTATGTTCTTCTGGTTGCTGTGGAATCTGAGAGGGGGATTTGCTTGATTTGACCTGTTATTTCCTCTTTTTGTTTGCCTTCAAACATGGTCTCCATCACTTCAGTCATGCATTCTTTTATACTTCAGTTATTATCCAGTGGAAAGTCCTTACCTACTGGCCTAGTTAAATCAAAGTGGTTACTTTTTTTGGCTGGGCAGTGTAATTTTACACACCGTCTTATTTTACTTTCTCAGGACTTAAAACTGTTTTTTGGGGGCAGACCCCCACAAAGAAAAAAATATATTTACACACGTAAGGTCATCATCTTAACAGTTTTGTATGCTCATCCGTGAGCAGAGCATCAAGTTGACATGTCTATTACAGCTGAATGCGGCGATTACCATGTTGTTCAGCAAAACGCCTCACAAACTTATTAAGATCAACAGCTTTAGTGCGTTTTGATTCAATGCTGAGTACAGCCAAACTTGACAGTCTCTTCTCTGTCATTGTAGACCGCAAATACCTCATTCCTTCAGTACTTGGGTCCGAATGCTTCTCGTTTTGCGCCGTCCCGTTCAAATGAAATCTCCGCCAATCATATTTCCACGCTCGCGCCAGGGACGGGGGAGGGGTTACAAGACGTGCATCTTGTGCTGCATTCACTTGCACTCGGACATTAGAGACTTTCTCTCATAAATGTCAGATGAGCCACAACTTTTCTTTCAAAACAAAGCTGCCAACTGGGGTGGCAGCTGGGGTGGCAAGGCCTATTTTTAGGGTGGCAGTTGCCACCCCATGCCACCCCGGTAGGTGAAACTAGGCTACTAGCTACAGTACAGATGCAACTAGATGAGCTGTTAACTCTCACTCTGACTCAGACAGGTTGAAAGAGACGACACGACACACGCATTTTTCCCACCCGCATTCCGCGAAGACCCGCCCTACTGTGCCTCTGATTCGCAGACTGTTGGTGGGGGGAAAAAACGCTGACGGGATGCTGAATGTGATTGGACCAAAGCGTTGACAGACACACACACACAGACAGTGGAACAGTCTGACATGCAGAGCGTTGTATGCAGTGGACATAGCGGAGAATTTTGACTCGTTGCGTTGTGGCGATGTCTCACAGATAACACAGATAATACAGATAATACATATGAAAAGTATAATTTGCTCAGAGTCCAGAGACAGTTGTGGTTCGGTCCGGATCCGGACCGGAGTCCGGACTTTGAGGATGCCTGCATTATACCCTACTGTCCTACTAGGGCATTGCGTTCCAAGAATGCAGGGTTGTTGGTTGTTCCTAGAGTCTCTAAAAGTACAATGGGAGCCAGAGCCTTTTCTTATCAAACTCCACTTTTGTGGAATCAGCTTCCAGTTTGTGTTCGGGCGGCAGACACCCTATCCGTTTTTAAGAGTGCGCTTAAGACCTTCCTTTTTGATAAAGCTTATAGTTAGGGCTGATTAGATTCAGCCCCTAGTTTTGCTGCTATAGGCTTAGACTGTCGGGGGACACCTTACTTCTTCCTTCTCTCTGTCTGTACCTGTGTACTCTCATGTTCCCAATAACCCAGCTTCCCCAAATTTCTTTTTGGTGTCTATCTACACCGGGATCCTGAGTCGTGGCTGATCCTGAGTCCTGGATCCTGGATCCTGAGTCCTGGATTTTGAGTCGTGGCTAAACCTGTCACTGTGGTCCTGCCTGACTCTCATCATACTACTTCCCTGATGGCTCCCACAGGATTGTTGACATCCTCGTGGATTCATCTTATTATTAAAGACACATGCATTTCCAAACATTTGGTCTACCTATGCTGTAAAATGTATTATCTCTTCGATTTACACACGGCATCTATTGCACGTCTGTCCGTCCTGGGAGAGGGATCCCTCCTCTGTTGCTCTCCCTGAGGTTTCTCCCATTTTCCCCTTTAAACTTTGGGGTTTTTCCTTTTTTGGAGGTTTTTCCTTTTACGATGTGAGGGTCTAAGGACAGAGGGTGTCGTATTGTCATACTGATATTCTGTACAAACTGTGAAGTCCACTGAGACAAATGTAACATTTGTGATATTGGGCTATATAAATAAACATTGATTGATTGATATTGTTATCATGGTATTGGCTACACTTATGACTTTGAACACATCTCTGCCATTTCTATTAAGGTTTAGGTCATTTCTAATTGAAATCAATCGATTAAATATCGCAAATATTTATGAATGAACTCTTTTAACAGACTCCTTTTTCATTGCCAGTAGACGTATGTTTTTCTATTTTTTTTTTTTCTTCCGGTGAGTCATGTTTGACGTCAAGGACATGGCGGTAACTAACTTTTATTAGTTTTATATTGATGTTGGGAAATCATATTTGCCATAACATCCCTTGAGATTAAAACCAAAACTGTAAGGTCTTTCATAAAGTGTGTCACTTGCCAACTAGTGTCACTTTTCTTAGGTATTTTGTCAAATGTTTATACTGGCATTCAGTTACCATGTCCAAAACATTAGGTCCAACATGTCAGAAGAAAATATGTCGATGCATGTGTGGTTGTTTTTTCTCCTGTCCCATGAACAGCATCAGGTTGCATCCTGCTCTCTTGTTCCTAAGCTAACATGTAGCTCCTCACCCACAGGCGAGGACTGAACCCCCCACACAGAGTGAAGTCCATCTCTATGACCACATTCACACATCAGGAAATCGAGTTCCTACAGAAACACAGCAATGAGGTACCGTGCACATTTTACAACTAGTGACTCAGCATATTTCACAATGTTATTCAGAGTTTTGCAGTCATTCTGGCTCTGATTCTGGAGCATCTTGGCATTCTTCTGAACCCTGCTTAGTCAACTTTATTGGCATTCCTCTCTCCCCACTTTTTTCTCCCGTTTCTCGTCATCCCCTCCCCCCTTCCCTTTATTTTCTCTCACCTCTCTTCCCGGCTTTGCCACCACCCCCACCCCAATCCTTTCCTTTACCTCCCACTCTCCTCATTCCTCTGCCCCCCACCCCCCAAAAGGTCTGTAAACACATCTGGTTGGGCCTCTATGACGACAGGACATTAGTTGTTCCAGATTTCCGAGAGCCACAGAAAGTAAAAGAGTTCCTTCAAGAAAAATATGAAAAGAAAAGATGGTAACATACACTCATTGTTTTTTTTATTGTTTGTTTGTTTGATATGTTTTGGGAAGAGAATAACTGCTGTTTTTTTATGATGCACTAAATGTAATGAAATAAAGGAATAATTCATACTAGTGCATGCAACTGCAATGTAGTAAATGCTAAATAAAGTGCTTAAAATTCAAAAGTTCTGCGGGGCATTTAGTATTGCTGACTTGCTGTCATGCAAAGGGAAAGAGTGCTGACGTTTAAACGCTGCCTCTGCCATAACGTTATGGATTTGGTTAACCATGTGTTTTAGTTTGATAGCATGCTCTTCATTATCCAGGACATTCTTTGTGTACGTGTCACTTTCCTCTTTAACTGTAGTGTTGGTGGAAAGAGCACATTTTAAACACTGGGAGGAAGTTCCCTTTTGTACTAGCCTTTATCGCAACTCAATCAAACGCATAACTACCCATTTTTTTGTCTTCACGTAGTTATACGATTAGTTAAAAAGCTGCTTTTGTATTTAACTGAAATAAAAGACAAAAACAATCCTCCACATTTGTATTGGTTTTGTTCTCTGGATGCGTAGGTATGTCCCTCCAGACCAGGCGAGGGCAGTAGCCAGTGTGCAGGCCTCTGTGTCCGGCTCTTCAGCCAGCAGCACTGGCAGCACCCCCGAAGTCCAGCCCCTCAAGACCCTGCAGCTCAACAAGACCCCTCTGCGCCAGGTAACAGAAATACACACTGAAGGCGAACTCACACAACATGACATGACTTGTGCAGCCACTAAACATGCTGGACAAATACAACTTAAACACCTGCTCAAATCTAGCTTTTGTATTTTGAAACGTTACTATCTGTATTCATTCCCAGGACGAATGAATCCGCAGTAGTCACAGTATTTATCGGCTCCAGCTCCGATTAGCTTCACCCATAATAATGTTCGCCCTTTCTCCTGTTGAATGTTTGTGATGCGTCTTGAAGGGAAATTGTAATTTATAAACATTTAAAGGTAACAATTATTGTGCTCTGCTCAAATCCAACAAACTCCAGTCAAACAGTAGTTTCACCTAGCGTTGAACACCTCAATAAAACAGAACAGACAGAACAAAAAAAATCATGCAAAATATCTTCGTTATTTTTTAAAAGTTTAACCGATCATCAACTCTGGTTTGAGAGTTTGAAAGAGAGACTGAATTTGTCACTGATGTAAAATAGTAGTAACCACTCTTGTTTTCTAACCATGCGTTCTAGCAATCAGGAAATAGTCTATCACTTATTTTCCCATGTCTAAAAAAATCCTATACAAGTTCAATTTGGTTGGGGCTTAATTCTGAAAGCACCTGCAAAGGGTGAAATGTACCACTTCAAATAGCGTCTCTGTGATCCTGTACCAATTGTAAATATTTCAAAAATAGGGAATTTGCCCATTAAATCAAAAATAAGCCCCCTTCTATGTAAATGAGCCTTATTGCAAAAACTGCCCAACTCACAAAGATAAGCACTAATAGTCACACGCAGTTACTGTAAGGTCATTTATGTTTGGATGCATAGAAAAAATAAACAAAGCTCCACCTATGAATAAGCAAATTATTTTCTTCCTTAATCCTGCGCTTTCATTTGATCCTTTTGCTTATTTTCATATATTTTCGTCTCTTAGTTTGGGAGGTTTGAATGAAAGTAGTAATAATCTGCCCAATAAGAAACATCTATGATGTCCTGGAAATGGTTGGAGAAAGGTTGTAACTTCTACTTCTTTTGGCTGCTGCCCAGTCTCCGGGGCGAGGTCGTTCCCAGGCTCTCATCGCTGCTCAGGAGAAGAAGTTTGACCTCCTCTCTGAACTGGGAGGAGACATCTTTGCTGCTCCACCCACTCAAGCTTCCAGCTCTACCAACTTTGCCAACTTTGCACATTTTCCAAGCCACTCGGGTAAGAAAGCTCTCTCAAAGGCACCATACAGATCAATACGGAAACATAGTCGTGTTTAGCATTTGTTTTGTCATCACTCCATGCATTTACTTCCCTGCCATTGTTTTTAAGTTCCACATTCATCATATGTGTTCATTTCTCCTTGTGAACGGCTGCAGCACCTCAGGGTAATTCAGACACCAACTTTGCCAACTTTGATGCATTTGGAAACACTGCAATTCCATCCCATCTGAGCACGTCACCCCCCTCAAAGTCCTTTTCATCAGGTACCCCCACCCCCCCCACCATTGTCTTTCCTCCACCCTGTCCACACATCCTCATCTCAGTATTTTTCATAATTATTTCTGGTGGTCACTGGTGAGTCCTTTCTGTGTCAAGCATTTGCTCTATAGATGCTAAGAACATGTGATGGTCATCAATAATGTTATTTTTGCATATTTGCAGATTTCTTATGACATGTTAAGCTTGTCTTTAGTTAGTCATTTTGGAAACACCAATACATCCTTCCAATTTGAAATACTTTTTTCATTTAGTCTTAAAGGAGACACCCAATTAGCATTTAGCATAAAGCTGTTACAAAATATCACGCTTTTCCTGAATACTTTGGCTAATTCTTATTATTTGACCTTTTGTATGTATGCATGCCACACGTCTTTGAATATCTCACCATCTTTTTATCTCACCAAAATGTGTCATAGGGGGAGGTGTGCCAATTCCGTCAATGTCTAGTGCCGTCCCCATCCAGATAGGCAGCAGCAGAGAGGACCGCTACGCTGCTCTGGCTGAGCTGGACAACGAGCTCAGCTCCTCTGTGAACTCAGGCAGCAGCGTGCCAGGGTGAGACACACACACACACACTCACACTCACACTCACACTCACACTCACACTCACACACTCGCACACACACATTGCAATAGCACTGCTAATAAATGTACACCAGTAGCTGTTCATTTCCTACACAGGCTGCCTCTGCACAATTATAATAACTCTTTATATGGCACCTTCCAAATCAGACATCACAAAGGGCTTTGGCAGACAAATCAAAAGCAGTATATAACAGAACAACAACACAACAGGAAGCAGAACAATAGGGCCAGACAAAAGCAAAACAGTGTAAGGTCAAATTAGAACAAGAAAATAAAGGTTAATAAGTTGGTAAACAAATGAAAATGAAAAATAAAAAGTTTCAATAAATATAAAATGAACATGTCATTAATACTAAAATACGAAACAAAAAGCATTAAAAGAAAAATCACATAAAGCAAGTCTATAAAATGGGTTTCAAGAAGGGAGTTAACAGTTGATTCTGCTTCAGTTTGTGAGAGCATCTGTTTAATAAGAATTTATTGTATTTGTATTTTATATTCTGTCGTGTTATTTTATTATATTCTTGTTATTTTATTATATCTTTTAGCACTGTCATTCATGTTTGTTGATCTGAAGAGCCTCCTGAGACAAATGTGTTTTGTGATATTGGGCTATATAAATAATCTTTGATTGTTTGCAATAGGTATAATCAAATGTAAATAGCAATCCTGAGTGTATTCACACATCAAACAAGAAAGGATCAGAAAGGGAAGGAAGCAGAACTGGGCAGCAAGTACTGGGCTTAATAACTTGGACACTAGGAGAAATACATTTAAATCCAGACAAACTCTATAAGAATGACCTGCACAGCTAATTTAGGCCTGCCATGCTAACTGCACGTGTCGAACGAAAGTAAAGACATTTAATCTGATCTTTGTCCTTACAGGAATTTATTTGGACCCGTGCTTGGTTCATCGCCAGCCCAGAATCCACCTGTGTTACCCAGCATGCAGCCTGGCTTCGGAAGTGGTAAATAGTTGTTACGACTACATTGATGCATAAAAAATGAAATGCAGGTTCCGAGCTGTACATTTTCCCACATAGCTTGAACGCTAAGTTCCTCCTGCATTTCCTCCAGGCGTCCCATCCACTAACCCCTTTGTTGCTGCAGCCGTCGGCCCGGAGATGGCCACCAACCCTTTCCAGGCCAACGGCAGAGCTCCAGCTGCAGGTGTGTGTGCATATAAACTAGCTTATTTACTCATGTTTCAATTGCACATTTGTGTTAATGAGATGTAACCCAGTTACATTGCCAAGTAGCTTTGTGATTTGCCAAATCATGTAGAATGTACTCCTCCTTGTGTTTGTGTGTTTGGTGTGCTGTGCCTTTGTGTACACACATACTTTGTCTCGTAGCCTCCTTTGGCACCGGCTCTATGAGCATGCCCGCCGGCTTTGGGAATGCGTCTTCCTATTGCCTCCCGACCAGTTTCAGCGGAAACTTCCAGCAGCAATTCCCTGGCCAGGCTCCCATCCCTTACTCTCAACCGGGGGCTTACCACCCTCAGTCTAATGGTTAGTGGCCTCCCACAATCCCTCTGTCCTCTAAACCCTTTGCCCTGTGCAGTACCTGTCAGTGATTTAGTGGTGGAGCAATTTACTTATCTTTATCTACATGATGCATTTGGTGTTTAGTCTTGCTTCTAAATTCAAAGTGTGACGTGGCAGCTACTGCACAGTTATAAAAGGTTGCATTTAGTGTACAAAGCTTTAGGGTTCTGCTCACGACAAGAAACTCAATGCACTTATCTGACATCACTCAAAAAGCTTTGTTCACACCTGAATGCAATCTGACACACTGGGCTTGGCTCTATTTTGTTTCCCCTTCTACAGCCTTACTCCCTTAGAACCTTTCAAAATGTACTCATTATGCTTAAAACTCTTTAGGCCAGTGTTTAAAGATTTGTTATCTTTGTTTACTTTTTTATAGGCTGCTATTTATGGTCTAATGTAACAGTTGCAATCAAATATTATTGTTACACATTGAGTATTAGGTCCAGCATTGAGTTCAGGGCTTAGGGAAATTCCACATGTCAATATACGTCAACTAAAAGTGCTTTTTTCTGACTCGTTTCTGACTAAAAGGCTCAGGTAGTAATTATTATAAGTGTATGACAACATTATCGAAAGGACCCAACAGGAGATAACATTTTTCTTAACCTTTTGCTTTATTCAGACTGCTTGCTATTGTTCCTATCTGCTTGTTAATGTTTTCATCCATATCTTGCTCAAGGAGAAGTCTTGCAATCACATTGTCGATATCAGCTGATTATTAAGCCATGTCACTAAAAACATCGGCTCTCTCCAACAAGTTACCCATCACATTAAAAAACGGAGCAGATCAAGCGAAAATAATCCTTTCCATAATGTTGTGTTGTCAGACTCTTATAATAACACTTCAACACTGTCATTGGCAAAAAAACTAACTTTTAGTGGACATTGACATGTGGTTGCCCCACGCGATTATATTGCAGCCCATTATCAGCTTTTGGCTGTAGCTTTCCTGCTCAATAACACTTAAAGGGTCCAGGTTGAAAAATACTTAAGTTCCCCTTTAACTGCTTGAGAGCGACCGCTTGACCTGTTGTAAATCCCTCTCCCTGTATCCCCCTCTAGGGCCTGCATTCCCAGTCTACGGTCAGAACAAGCCCTCCATGTCGCACTTTGGGCAGCCCATGGCTGGCCCTGGCATGTCCTATAACCCTTTCATGGTGAGCATGCTTTGCCTTTTGTTCTCCCAACTTTTTTTAATTAAAGGGGCCCTATTATGCTTATTTTCAGGTTTATATTTGTATTGTGTGCTTCAAGTTTCACATGTTTCCATGCTTTAATGCTCAAAAAGTCATACTGCCAAATTTCATTTGAATTGTTTCAGAATGTTTTCTGTCTCTGATTTCAGGCGGGTGCTCCAGCAGGGGCCTTCCCTTCGGGGGGTTCAACCAACCCTTTCCTGTAGCACAACTCTTACCTTTGCCACCAGAGGGCAGCATGCAGCACATATTCAACGCACCATTCCGTCATGCATTAGTGGCAGTACCATTTTATTTTTAAAGACTTACATTTTTTTGTTTTTTTTTTCATAAAAAAAAAAAAGTTTACAACACTATGAAGGAGTACAAAGGACAATATTGAAGACTAAGGGACTGTTATGGGGAAATGTACAGTTTGGATTATATACAATACAGTATATGCTTCTTATGTTTTGTTTATGACTGTAAGCTCTGTGCATATCATTTGTAATCACAATTAAGTACATGTTATGTATGACAAGGACTGAGTTACCATTGGTAAGTATACACATACCTTATGGAAAAAAATACCTCACTACAATCTCCATAGGTACGGGTATATACTTTAAGACAATTAACAAGTTTCCACCCAAATCCATGATGATGCAGGTATTTCATTTCAAAAGGGATTTTTTTTTGTTACAATTGCAAAATGTGCGAAATTTCCTTTATTAAAGGTGGGGTAGGTAATTCACTTCAGAAGCACTTTTTGTTATATTCCATGGAATGCTCTTAACATCCCGATAGCAATGAATATATTAAATGCTTTGACAATAAATACATAAATGTCATCTGTGGAAGCCGTGGTGCTGTAAAAAGCACGACCAATCATCTGAGCCGGCCCGGCTGAAATAACTGGATGGCCTACCTGCCTGTCAGCCTTCCATCTGTGCACAAACTTATCTCGTGCCCTCATTGGTCATGTGCGCGTTCGTGTGTGTTGGAGGAGGGGCTCTATAAGGAAGTCTGAAGGAAGGCGCAGATTTTTTTCGGCTGCGCACTTTCAAATTCTAGCGCACTCGAGCTGGTTTCTCCATTCTTACCTACCCTACCTTTAACTTACAAGTTGCCTATGACTCAAAGCTTCAAAGCTTACGTCTTTTTAAACTACTGTAACATCCCAAGCAGGAGGATGCGATTCAGCTTTCATTCTTTTATTAATTTTGCCAGTATCTGTGAAATGGTTGTGGCTCTTTTTTGGTTTCAAACCAAGAGGCCACCATAGATTTGGAACTGGAGAGGCATGTCTACCAGAGCACAAACAAAGGGAAGACACAAGAAGTGCAGGCTTTGAAATTACTATTTGTATATCCTGTTACCCTACCTATTCTCTAAATGTTGGTAAAACTGTTAAATATACTCTTATTTAACCCCCTGTTTTCAGATATTCACTATATTTTATGAATATGGTAAAGACAAACGGAAAGACTGTTAAGAAAGCTTCAGGGTTGAGAAACAAGTGGTGTATGAGAAACAAGTGGTGTAGTTTTTCACATGGTTGCGGGTGACATGTCCTCTCGATGACAGGTTAACCAGAAAAAATGTACAACCTTTTAAAACTAAAAATATGTATGAAAAGTTTTATCACTACACTTCCTTGATAGCTGTCTTCTTCTTTGCCTTCAGAAGAACAGAATGAGGAGGAATGTTGCTCTCCCCTCAGTTTGCTTTAAATTAGGCCGAGGAAATAACTGATGTAGGGATTACTACATTACTTGATCAGCCTGGGACTCTGGCGTACTAGTTTCTCAATTGTGCCACCAATGACTAACAATGAATTTGACAATGTGTTTCTTGTCTTTGCAAGAATAGGTTAGTAAATGTGTACATATATAAATATATGTATAAATAAATTAAAAGATTTTTAACTACAATGTTGACTTTGTGTAACTATATATTGTGATTATTCATTCAGACAGGTGACTCAGGTGACCGTTTGTGAGGTGTATACATTCTCATCTGAAATGATTTGGGACTAATACAACAGCTGTGTGAGTAGTCCTGTCCCTGTGAAGGTTGTAATAGGAATTTTCTTGCGGAAGCTAATATCGTATCCATTTAATACCTTTCAATGAAGATTGAATATTAGAAAGGTGTCTCGGTTTAAACAAACAAAAGCTAAGCCCCCAAAGTAGACATATGGTTGAATAAACACTAGGTAGCCTACTGTTATCCTTTAGTAAGGAATAATTCATTGCAGAGCTGTTGTATTAGACCAGGGGTGTCAAACTCAATTTCATCCCGGGCCACATCAGCATTATGGTTGCACTCAAAAGAGCCGGTTGTAACTTTAAGACTATATAAATATAGTTTGGGATTGTGGGAAACGGTATTTCGATCTCTCTGTCTGTAGCCTACACACAAACTGAAAGATTGACAATAAAGTTGACTTTGACTTTTGACTTTGATATACATATATACAAGTCTTTTCACTGCGCATGACACAAAATGAGATGCACAGTGACGTGTCCTAAACCTATCGATTAGAAAATTATAAAAGTAGGGTAGACATGTGGAGATTATCCGACTGAACAAAACATGATCCGTCTCTTAAATGTGTGTCAACCACAGACCTTATTTCGAGCTATTTTCCAAAATCCAATGGAGAAATTGCATTGCTTTTTTGTCGAAGGAACCCATGCGCAGCTTACTTCCGGGTTTAGGACGCGTCACTGTGGCACTCTATTGTGAGACATGTAGTTTATGGGCAACGTGGTTCTGTAAAGCGGCATGTAACCATAATAACCGTATTATATTGTTTCCAAGCTCTTGCGGGCCACATACAATGGAAGTCGCGGGCCGGATTTGGCCCACGGGCCTTGAGTTTGACACCCCTGTTTAGACTCAAAGCAAAGTGTAGTTAACAAGCAACTGAGTTTTGTGCATTGGGGTGTATATTTTATATTATCATATCGAGCAACCATTCCCTGTTAACCTTTGTCTTGCATACGTTCTTCTGTATGCCATTTTCTTTAGTTTAAAACGTGCTAAATGATAACTTTGTTCACATGTAGCTTCTTGCTTGGACCTAGTCATGTCTTCAGCTCTCCACCTGAGAAAGCAGTTGCCATGACAACACAGACAGTTTGATATGGCGTCCCTGTTAACAGACCCGTTGTTTGAGAAGTCCGGACGCGGTCCACCACCAAACAAGAACTTTTATCATTTTGCTATCACCAAGTCAGGTGTAAGTATAGATATTGTATAATTATAATTACTCTACTGCATTGCTAGCATGAACTAATGTTAACGTTTTATTAACGGTAACGTTAGCTAGCTAAACCTGCTGTAACCACAGGAACTTTGCCTCACGTGCACGCAAGCGGCATGGCAGTTGAATGCTATTTATGTTAGCTTCTAATGTTAAATAGCTACTTTTTAACTTGGATATGTTTGCTCATTAAATTGTTTAAACAACGTCTGGATAGAATAACCGTAGTAAGACCATTTGTGGAAAAAGTACTCAGATGCTCAACTTGAGTAAAAGTACTAATATCACATTTTAAACATACTCCATTACAAATACATGTCGTGAGTTCAAAATGTTACTTAAGTAAATGTACAAAAGTATGATCAGCTAAATGTACTCAAGTATCAAAAGTAAAAATACTTAATATACAGTCAATACTACTCATTTGAGAAAGGGTTATAAACACAACATGTTACCAAGTAAAAACTACTTACAAGTGTAATAGTTAGAAACTTATGTCTGCCTAAAGACTAGGCTATGATAAGACAAAATGCAAACTAAAACCTTAAAATGGAAAAATAATACCGAATCAAAGGTCAGTATAAAAAATAAGACAGATAATGCTAACATTTTTTTTTGAAATATCTCATATCGAAGGCATTTAATAAACTGCATATTTGGGGATAAGTTAGATATACAATTTGTTATTAGTTCAAATATTAAATGTGCACCTCGTAGTTTCTGAGATTCAGCGACATTTCTATCATATTTAGCCATTGGGCACATGGGCCTGCTGTTTATTTCTATTTATGGAACAGTAGTCACATGTGCTGGAAGACTAAATATAGCATGATAAGAAATACTCACTTTTCAGCCAACTGTTTGACCTATTTTCAAAATGTCTCCAGATATGCCCAGAGAACGACATTTATTACCACTATGGATGTACTGTGTACATAGATTAGTCTGTTTTACAGTTCCCTTTTCTTTATTTTTTTAGATGTAAATAACAGTATTATATTGTTGAGGGTATAACACCTTGAGGAAAGCTGTGTTTTTTAGAGCTTGATGTGAAAATATTTAACAGCAAAGATCCTTTCAACGGTCACTCCCAGGTGATATGGAGATGGTGGAAGATATCTCCCAGAAATGTGGACAGATACTCCAAACCCGGGGAGTTGAAGGAGTCTCACCAGGACTTCTTAGATGACGCTTTGCTCCAGAGTAAGAGCTTTATTATTTACCTCTAAACTGTTTGGTTTGCATTACTTTTTATCATGTGGTCAGAAATGCATAATAGTGCTTTAGGTATTCATAGCTTCATGTACAGATTGTAGTGATGTGTCGGTCGCGAACGAGCCGATTCTTTTGAACGGCTCTTTGGTACGAACGAGGGGAACCGAGTCCTACTTGGTGAGAGCCGTTCTTGTTATCGTTCAATCGTTGGTCCGCACTCACTGCCTGCCAAAATCCACTCGCCTTTTAACCCTTGTGCCCTCCTCGGGCATTTTTGTACATTTTTCCTGACTTTTTTTTTTGATTTGGTAATCATTTCAGCTGTGTTACAGCTTTTGGCATGGATTTTTGCAAGAAGTCTTCTTTTGAGTCAAATTTTTTAAATCCAATGTCGTTTACTGAGGGTCCGGCCCACCATCCACCACCACGGGGGGCTTTCTTCTCACAATCTGTGAGGACACCCTGGTTTTCCCCAGCTCCTGGGAGAACGACCTCCGTTCTTCTCTGTCCCCTCACTGTGGGCTGGACCCTCAGTGTCCTCTCCACTTTCAGATGAAGGGTCAGAGGAACTCAAAGAAATGCTGGACTCCAGAGAGCATTCAGTGTCAGACCCCAGCTCGAACCTTGTGTCTTCTTCAGATGAGTCCTGCAGCTCGCTGGCAGAAGAAGGCTGCAAGATTATTTCTGAAGTCTCTTCTGCACTGAAATGCTTCTTCATTTGAGTTCCTTCTCTTTGCTCCAGGTCTTTCTCCTTCTCTGCTCACTAATGAAATAAGCCCTTGGTCAAACTGCATGTTTATCTTTGGCAGCCAGGTGCATAAACACACTAACAGTTGTTTTTTGTTTTTGAGTAATCAAGCAGCTCTTCAAAGACACATCAAACACAGCCCTCAAAAGATGGCCTTTTGTTCCCATGAAATGATCTGTGCATGCTTACAGATTCTCACACACACACACACACACACACACACACACACGCACACACACACGGAGAGGGAGGAGAGGTGTGTGCTGGTTGTGCACAGGCCTAAAAAAATGTTGTTCTATCACCTGAGAGCACCAGGTCACATGCTGCAGGACCTGCTAGTCTGCTGCTGGAAATGACACACACACACACACACACACGCACATATACACACACACACACACGCACACGCACACGCACACGCACACACATACATATACACATACACACACACCACTCTCGGGGCCCCCTGGTAGTCACACGGCTCCATAATATAACTGGCAAAAATTTAAGAATTTCATGCATCGGCCTACAGTGGGAAAATGGTTTAATCTGTTGGAATAGAGTAGAAATATCAAATATCACTACTTTTCTTCTAAATGAAATGCTGACATTACAAAATGCATGGTTTTATACTGCAATGGCAGTGAGATCAACAAATGTGGTCTGAATGGAAGTCAATGAGGCATTTTTGAGATAAATGAAATAATGAAACAGGCGTTTAAAGGGTTAAAATCGAAACCGAAAATGGTAGTTTTGAGTACGTTAGAAGTTGTTTATGTGATTCATGAAAAAAAAGTTGAAAAAAATATTGATGTATGATGATTTAATAGAAGTTGTTTGGGGCGTGTACATTTTTGCCACGAAGGTGTCCAGAGGTAGTATCTGATACTACGTAAAAAATAATAATGCAGTCAAATCAATTTTGTTGCTAATCTTTGACACATCCAAGACTCTAATAACCACCAAAGTTCCATCCCTCTACTAATTATTATATTGAAAGAAATTCATTTTTTGTGTTTTTTTGTAATAAATAATGAAATAATTCAAATAATTAAACAGGCATTTAAAGGGTTAAAATCCAGAAAAGTATTGAATGTTTGCTAGTTCTGAGTATGTTATAAGTTGTTTATGTGATTCATGAAACAAAAAGTAGAAAGAAATATTGATATATGATGATTTAATAGAAGTTATTATGGGCGTGTACATTTTTGCCACGAAGGGGTCCAGAGGTAGTATCTGACACTACGTACAAAATAATAATGCAGTGAAATCAATTTTGTTGCTAATCTTTGACACATCCAAGACTCTAGTAACCACCAAAGTTCCATCCCTCTACTAATTATTATATTGAAAAAAATTCATTTATTGTGTTTTTTGTCATAAATAATGAAATAATTCAAATAATTAAACAGGCATTTAAAGGGTTAAAATCCAGAAAATTATTAAATGTTTGGTAGTTTTGAGTACGTTATAAGTTGTTTAAGTGATTCATGAAAAAAAAAGTAGAAAGAAATGTTGATGTATGATGATTTAATAGCAGTTATTATGGGCGTGTACATTTTTGCCACGAAGGGGTCGAAAGGTTGAAAATTCGAGGAGGGCACAAGGGTTAAAAAGCTTGATTTTGTTCCCCAAACGTATTCTGTGAAGACCCGCCCCTACTCTGATTGGTAGGTTTCAGCACGAGGAGTGAGATGGGGTGGGTCTTAACGGAATACGCGAGAGAGAGAAGTCATAACAAGTGGTACAGGACAGGTAGACGACGTGTTTTTCGGATGGAAAATGAGCCAAACGCGAAAACGCAGCAGCATTTGGATGCACTTCAACCAAAACCCAGGCAGTGATAAAGCGCACCATTTGTAAAGGCAAAATATCCTTTAAAGCAGGGTCAACAAATAATCTCCATCGCCACTTAAAAGCACACTACTAATATTAAGAGTTGTGTGAATTTCATTCAAGGCAAGGCAACTTTATTTACTTAACACATGCAGAGGGTAAATTCAAAGTACATTCAATGACATGATGACATGGATATGGCGCCACCTTGTGTCATGTTTACAATGCCGATTATTGACATTAGGTCTGGCAATACAGTCAATCATTATCCTGGTGATTATTTTGCAGATAAACCTAGAAACCTTAAAAAAACGGCTCTTTTGAACGGCTCTTTTGAACGGCTCTTTGAAAGGAACGGAGCCATAAGATCCGGCTCCCTTCAAAGAGCCATAATTCCCATCACTAAATTGTGGCTTCTCTCCAGGTGAGGTCAGTATGGTTTTTGGTCGTCGAATCTTGCAGTACACCAAGGCGTTGTGCCAAGACCATTACGACTATCTGGAGCGCCTGTCTGACTCCATACTGCTGCGGATAATAAATGATCTAGAACTGGAGGACGTGGGTCAGCTTGGACGAACGTCACACAGGTTCAGGGAGGTGAGTTCCAGAGACACATAAAGACAGATGTGCAACAAGAAAACTATCCTGAGATTAGAAACATTAACTCTGTTATTTAAGGTTTCATCACTGCACATTTTTATCTTGGATACATTGTTAAAAAAACAAAACTGTTATTAAATGAGAAGTAATATTAGATTCCTATTGTTTTTATAAATGTGTAATTAAATCAATGCAAATGGTTGAGTTTGTCTTGTGCTCCTCAGCTATGTGGCTCAGAGGAGTTTTGGGAGCAGGCGGTGCATCGTCGCTGCAACACAGTGTCCCCTGAAGTAGCATCTCTGGCTCTGGAGGTGGGCTGGCGCAGCATCTTCTTCACCAGCAAGCTGCAGCTGCAGAAACTGATCAGCCGCAGGAGGCTGAAGGCAGAGGAGCCACCAGAAGGACAGCTCTCTGACCCAGATATAAAGGCAGAGGAGTCTCCGGGTGACAGCTCAGAGATAGACCAGGCATCTGGATCTGAGAAGGAATCTCCCCCTGGCATTATCCCAAAACTAAGCCTTGGCACTGATCCTGGAGCTGGCTTTGACCACAGCTCCTACTGTGATGTTGACCCTGAGTCAGATCTAGAGGCTGGCTCTGACTCCAGCGTGCCTGCACTTTGCCAACTGTTTGAGGAAACAGGAAAACCCTGTGTGGAAACAACTGAGCAGAACAGTGCGCCGAACAACAGCAGAGGAGACTTCAGTGCAGAGCCAGATAAGCCATGAACCTCCGTCGGTTGTGTATTGATGAATTAAATATATTATATTCTTAATATTTGTCAAATATAAATGTTTTTTAAATATTTGATATGATTATTAAGATCCTCTCAGGATATTTGGGGACATACCCATGTGCCATGATTCTTCAGGACTATTGTAGATGATACTCATTATTCATTGTAATAACATTGTACGTAGTAAATGTCGTATAAAGGTAATATTCAAAATGCCATTTCGTTGTCTCTGGCGTTTCATTCCTGAATTCATTTGAAGTAAAAAACCTCATATTTCTGGCAACTATCCGATGACACTCGACACAAACATGGTAAAAAGGATTATCTTTTTTAAATTATGGATGCTTTTTCACTTATCAATAAGATACTTCATATATTTGGGTGCCTAAATACGTGATCATTGGTATCTGGGTTACTTCTTGAGTGAGTTTTTTGGGAACCTTGGCAGTTTCTTCCTCGCTGCAGGGACATTCTACAGATGGCCAGTCCGCCCCTGAAAAATGTCTATGCACACGTTATTATTAATAATAATAATACAAATAATAATAAAAACAAAATTAATTATTAATTATTGTTTCTTTATTTGTAATCATCTCGCGACCCCCACTTTGGGAACCCCTGCTGGTGCTAATGGTCCATCCTGTGCTCAGCTCATATTGACTTCAAGAGTGTCTTTCCATCTGCACTTTGCTTCATGTTGGTATGCTTTAAGTGTCTGCGAATATTTTAAGCATTTTTCTGATGTTTCAAATTGTATTTGAGAGTCTCAAAATGAATAGTATTTTCTGAAATGCTAGATAAAGAGTGATGAAGACCGACACAACTGGACTCCGAAAGCTCCCCTAGAAATATCTCTGAATTTGTAACTGCACTTTGTAACTGAAACCTAAACGGTTTTATGTAAAACACTGAGCTTGAGAGTCAGTTTGAGCAGGGATTAGCCAGATGTGAGTCGCAGCCACCTGTGCTACTGCCTCCTCTCTTTAAAGGGACATTTCACTTTTAATTCTGATTGCATGTAGTCTGTGCTGGTGTCTCTCAAGATGCTTTCAGATCTAGCCTTGTGTCCAGAGAGCACATCAAAGTGCTTCCTATACCTCTGAAATATATCCCCAGAGAGGGAAGCAGTTCACTGCCCTTTTGGAAAATGTTGGGTCCTGTCAGGAGGATGAATAATTCCAAAAGGCCATCGATTCTAGAATTCATCTTCTTTTGCCTTTAGCCACAACCAAGCATTCACATCTACATGCATTTAAGTTACTTATTTTTCTGGCCTGTCGATACCTCCCTAAGGTCCCTTATTCTACGTCCACACACCTTTGCCTGATTTGAGACACAATAGTTGAAAGCATAGTGGAATGGGACTTCTTCATCAGGTATTCTTCACAACATGTTTGAGTCCTTCTCTATGTGTCAACCTCACCAGCCATCTGATCCAAGTTACTGCCATATGGTAACCTGAAGGTGAGCTAATTTCCCTGAGGGCCAGACAATTTGACCTCCGATCTCATAAAAGATCAACAAAGTCAATCACTGACCTTTTACTCACCATACAGTGTCAGATCAGGTAAGCCAATCAGACACCCTGTTCCAGTGCTTTGCAGAATGAGGGTTGAATTCTTCCAGTTTTTCTCTTCCGTCACCAGGTATTGTTATCATCAGCATCTGAATGGCAAACAACAGTCAGCCAGCCTCCTTTTCTAAGTGTGGCAGTCCCATCAAGTATATCTTGTTATCTGCCAGTCAACTCTCGTCCAAGTGGCACCCTGGGGGACTGAAAGTTACCCTGTATTTGAGGAGCTTTAAACGGTCATTCTTTATAAAAGCCAGCTTGGTGTGACTTGATTGGATGCAAAAATAAGTCAGTTTTCAGAGAACACTATGAAGATAAAATCCAACTTCTAACTTGATTTATTAACTCAGTAAACATTTCCCCGACAATTGCTAGTTTAGAATAGGAGTAGTAGTATACCGGCTTCACAACCTGAACTGCTGTGGCTTGTTCGCTTGTTATGTCAGGTTTGCTGCTTTCTGTGTGTTTTTAGAAGATGAAAGATCATTGTAACATTTGGTCTCCTAAAAATATCATGATTCATCACGATTTCAAAATTCTCGTAAGATTGTTAAGGTTTGGAATTCACCTCGGTTGGTTTTGGTAACGGTTGTCCGGCAGCGAGTCTCACAAAAGTTTTCGGCAAGTTTGGCAAATTGAGGGTAATTAATCTAAGTTCAACGGTTTAATACTGTTGTTGGTGACTCTCATTTTCTTAAATCATGCTCTTGCCCTGTACAACTCCGGAGATACCACCACCAAATGCAAATTATGATTAAGCTTATAGGCCTAGGCCAGCTTTGGTCAGCTCTTCACCTACCTTGATTGAGACAACAACGTAGGGATGCACCCAGTGGCGGACTGGCCATCGGGACGTGCGGGACGAATCCCGATGGGCCGGTACTGAAGTGAGCCGGGCGGACAATGTGGGCTGGTCGGATAAGTCACTAGCAATTACTTTTCACTACATTACATTTAATTTAGCTGACCCTTTTATCCAAAGCGACCTACAATAAGTGGTTGTCTTGTATTTAGATTATTTTAAATGTCCTCCTTGTTTTACTTGATTTTATGTATTTGATTATTAAGCACTAGAAAATACATGTTTGTTTATTGTATTTCACACCTTTTTTTCCACTGCTAAGTTGGGAATACTTTACCTCGTCTGCCTTTTTTTGTGAAAAACCTGAGAGGCCATAAGAGGATGTAGGGAAACCAGGCAAAGACCATGTAGTGAACCATGTGGGTGATGGGATGAGTGTGTGCTGCCCATCGTAACATTTCCTCAGGCCAGGCTAATCCTCCCAAGGTTAAGGGCACAGATTTCTCAAAGAGCAAACTCCTATTTTAGAAAAAAAATACAGCTGCTCAATTTCTCAATTACTTTCTTAATTTCCCTTGTCGGCACTGTGTTACCTAATCATATATTGCTTTTCACAACAGTTTGTTTAAGGCTGGTGGCCCTCATTGAAAGTGATATGGGTCATCAGGGATCCCATAGAGTGACGTATTAGCACCTATTTGACCCCTCTGGTAAAAGGTGAAACCTATGACCTCATTCCATCGACTCAGGAGGCTAAAGTGCTTTACTTACCCTATGATCCATTTACAACATGATTGACATTTGACGGTTTTGATATGTATGCCAGTGCTCTTAAACTGTCATGTATGTCTTTCTACTAAAATGTTGAATCTCGAATTATAGTTTGGAAAGACATTAGTAAATAAGATGTTACTGAGATTGCGATCTATTCTGTCCTTTCTTGATGTAATTGGTAACCTTTTGTGTTTTTTTCATGTTTAAATCCAAACAAAGACTGGGTCTGGAATCCTCTGCAAGGCAAGCAAAGCTCTTGATCTTGTGCTGGAGCTTGAGACCATTTGAGAAAGGATTAGCTAATATTATCCGAGGTTTACGTACTGAATTAGCCTACATCCACATTGCTGTGTCTGGTTGGAGGAAAGTGCCTCAACAGTGCAATACAAAAGTAATGCAATTCTTTTTATGTAAGCAGTCTTATACTAGAATTACAATATATTCAGAATACAGATTCATATTCAAAGCTAATTTAATGTTTACACTAAATTAAAAAAAATGGTGTTTGCCTGAAATCTTCTGGCTTTCCTCATCGTGGTGTTTGTTATATTATTGTGTCAGGTGTATTACAAAGCTCCTCGCTTTATCCTTAGTTCTGTCACATGATTAAAGTCATGTTCCTTAGGCTTTTCTAAGTGTTGACTTGACAAACTGGTACCTGACGTTTGAAACATACGTTTGAGTAATGTAGGAATAGTAACAAAACATTTTCATTGGTACTAAATTCAGTTTTATTTTCCATTTTGCATTTTATCGTATTTTCTTTTACAATGTTATGCTGTTTATTGGTTGAAAGAAACAGAATAAGAATACTTGATGGTAATTGCTCAGATCAGTGATGCGAAAATAAAATGTTCTATTACCTTAAAATCTGTACATTTTGCAACGCTACCTTAAAATATGGACTCTTCAAGTACACCAGATCCTAGGAATATGTGTGCACCCAAATGACCATTTATCAAAGACTGAAACGTTTGTTTGAGTTTGATCCCGCCACATGTCCAAGGGTCCTTGGGCAATATGATGAATCCCAAATTGCTTCAAACATTAACTATATGATTGTGTGTGGGAATGTTTATCAAGCCTTATGAGCGGTTGGCACATTGTATGTGTGTGTAAATGGGTGTCTGCTGACTTGTGTTGTAGGGACTGTAAGTGGCTGTCAAGACTAGATTTAGTTATTGTAAAGTGGTTGTCACTTTGCAGACAGATTAGGAGTATCTGCTCTGTTTAGACTGTGAGGAGGAAAGTGAAAAAGATGATGATGCCATACCGTAGATCTTTACCACATTGACTTTCTCAGTTAAAATATTTCATCATTATTCTGCTCAAGGCTCCAAAGACAACATTATTATCTAATCAAATGGTACGATATCCTGTGTAAACCAAAGTATTTCTCAACGTTCACAAGAGGACCCTACAAAAACTGTAATGACAATTGTGTTAAAGGTGTCTATATCTTGAATTTTCTGCATCCTTAACTCTCCCACCATGAAATGCATAGTCAAAGAAGCCAGTGGACCACTGTTAGAGACTACTGAGCACCATGAACAAATATAGAGGGCTACAAAGCCTCTTAGGACAGAGCCCGCTTACGATTCCCTTTCCGTGCACAGCATCCTTGAATAGTCCATACAAAGATCCTTAAGCCAAAATCCCTCCCTGGTCTTTAATTCTAAATGAGTAATTACTGGGTGTGTCAGTGTGTCTTAGGTTTGCAGGTAGTCTGGATGAAGGGGCTCATTTGCTCGCTGGCTCTGGAGCGAATTGCACTCACACACATTCTGAAAGACGCTTAGGCTATCCGTGGGGAACCGTTGAAGAACCCAGTCACTTAGGGGGA